AAGATGGATGGAATTTTTGAAAGATTATGATTTTGAATTACATTACCATCCAGGAAAGGCAAATGTAGTAGCAGACGCTTTAAGCAGAAAATCATTACATGTCTCTTCCCTTATGATTCATGAGATGAGTCTGCTAGAAGAGTTCAGAAACATGAATTTATCAATTACCATGAACCCCGATAGAATAAAATTAAACTTAACTCAGATTACTAGTGGATTACAAAGACAAATTCAAGAGGCTCAAGTAGTTGATGAATTTATTCAAAAGAAAAAGAAGTTGATAGGACAAAAGAATGGAGAAAAATTTGGCATAGATAAAGCAGGAATTTTGAGATTTAGTGATAGAATATGTGTGCCTAATAATGTAGAGATTAGAAAACTAATTTTAGATGAAGCACATAAGAGTAAATTGAGCATACATCCAGGCACAACAAAAATGTATCAAGATCTTAAGAAAATATTTTGGTGGCCTAAAATGAAGAAGCAAGTGGCACAATATGTAACATCATGCTTAGTTTGTCAAAAAGCTAAGATAGAACATCAAAGGCCTGCAGGAATGCTACAATCTTTAGATATACCCGAGTGGAAATGAGATAGTATTGCAATGGACTTTATAGTTGGTTTACCACGAACAATTCAAAAATTTGATTCCATATGGGTTATCGTGGATAGGTTGACAAAGTCTCGCTCATTTTCTACCCATTAACATCGGTATTCATTGGAGAAACTGATCGAATTGTACATAAAAGAAATTGTGAGATTACATGGAGTTCCATCCAGTATTATTTCGACCGGGATCCTAGGTTTACTTCTAAATTTTGGGGAAGCCTACATCAAGCCTTAGGAACTAAGCTTCATCTTAGCTCAGCTTATCATCCTCAAACCGATGGACAATCGAAAGAACCATTCAGATCCTTGGAAGATTTGTTGAGAGCATGTGTGTTAGAAGATTCTGTAGCTGGGATCGATACTTATCATTAATTGAATTTACTTATAACAACAGCTTTCCATTCTAGCATAGGTATGGCACCCTATGAGGCATTGTATGGGAGAAAATGTAGGACACCTTTATGTTGGTTTGAGACTCGGAGAAAATTTAATCTTAGGTCCCGACATGATTCAACAAACCACGGAGAAAATTAAGATGATTAGGGAAAAATTAAGAACAACTCAAAGTCGACAGAAAAGCTATGCCGACAAGAGAAGAAGACCCCTTGAATTCCAAGAAGGTGAACATGTATTCTTGAAAGTAACACCGACAACCTGGAGTTGGTAGAGTAATGAAAGCCAAGAAACTCACTCCTCGATTTATTGGTCCCTATCAAATTCTTAGAAAAATAGGTCCTGTTGCTTATCAAATATCCTTACCCCCTTTTCTTTCTAATCTTCATAATGTGTTTCATGTGTCTCAATTAAGAAAATATATTTCTCGACCCTTCTCATGTAATAATGCCGGATACAAGTACAATTAAAGGATAACCTTACATTTGAAACAATGCCTGCAGATTGACATGATATGAAGATCAAGCAACCGAGGGGAAGACAAATCCCACTAGTGAAGGTTGTTTGGAATGAAATTACTGGAGACACTACATGGGAACTAGAAAAGAAAATCAGGGAAAGTTACCCCTATCTATTTTAGTCGCTAAAAAAAAAACGTCACAAAAAGTTTCACTTTAGATTTTATGAAAAAAAAGTTGATTACAAACGAGGATATGAAAGAAAAGTCAAACAAAAAGCATCAAGAATGTTTCTTGAAGGAATCTGATGTTAAGGAGGAAAATAAAGATGTAGATGAAGAAACCGTTTCCAATATCCATCAAAGAGTCAATAGTACTACTATGAAGTTTGAAAGAAACAAAGGAGATGAAGTTGATAAATGAAGAAATACTTTAATGAAAAAAATGAAGTTGAATAAAGATGTGATCACATACAAAAAGGAAGATGACAAGAAGTACAAACAAAAAAAATAGGAAAAATTCTAAGCAAAATAAAAAAAAGAATATCAAATTCAAATAAATAGTTATTAAAGTAAGGAGGAATATTGAGAATATTACTTGATTATCTTTTATTTAAATTATGTATTAAGAGATTTTATTATATTTTAAGAGAGAAGGTAAAAAAATATTAGATTATTATTTTGATCTAGGTAGTTATGATTGAGATATTATTGGTATTTGATATTTTGTAATATTTTCACTCTATATATACAGAGTATATGAATAAAAATATACCCACATGATATATAAGAAATACACATACACAAAACCCTAAATATTCTCATCACTGCATTATACGACTATCCATAACATTGTATTTTTATGGTGATTGTCTCATTTGTTGGAAGTCCAAAAAGCATAACACAAATTCCCACAACTCTGCTGAGACTGAATACATGGTTCATGCCACTATGGCTTGCGAGCTTCAATGACTCAAATATATTGTAGATGATCTTTCTGTCAACATCTCTCTCTACTGGTATCTACTTTTTTTTTACAATCAGTTTACTATTTAATTAGCAAAGAATTCATCTTTTCATGAGCATATAAAGCATATTAAGGTGGATTGTCATCTCATTCGTACAAAGATCACTGAAGGACTCACAGTTCTTTCTCATATTCATTCTAAACATCAGCTTACCCTCATATCTTTACTAAAATTTTGTATTTAGGATCCTTTGCTAAAAATATATCCAAGTTGAGTTTAATAAACATACACCACCTAACTTGAGAGGGGTATTATAATTAAAAAATAGTTTTTCTAATTTAAAAAATAAAGTTGTTGTCAGCTCTTTTTTTGTTGTTCTCTTTAAAGTAAATAACCTTGTAAACATAACATTATTAAAAAAAAAATTGTCTTGTACAGTTGTATTCTTCAATACATAAAGTATTCCATGCTTTATTATTTCTTGTGTACATTTTTAACCCCTTCTAAATTTTACATGGGTCTAAATTCATATAGAAACAAAAATTAAAATAACGACTAAATGCCTTTAAACGAAAAAATAAAACAAAACTGCTAAGCAATACATGTGAAATTTTTTATGACTAAACCCTTTTGAAATATAAGACCTCTTCTCGAGTTTTTTTATTTATATTTTTATTTTATATATAAATAATATATTTATAATTACATTTTAAGTAATTAGTTTTTATAAGTAAATTAGTAAGTTAAAATAATTTACTCTATTAAAATAATTTAATCTATTAAAATAATTTAAAACTATTAAAATAATTTAATCTATTAAAATAATTTAAAGGCCCTGAATTAATATTATTCGATTAAAGATGTAAATTAATCCTTCAAAAAGGATCTTTTAGACAATAAAGTTTATTTTAATGGATTAAAACTAGTTTTTGAATTATTAAATTTATTATTAGATTTATATAATAGTAATCTCAAGCTATCTTCATTTTATTAAATTTGAAAAATTTTCAATTTTCTGAACAGTTGAGACAAATTTTATAATTGATGGAAACATTAATTCCTTATTTGTGCTACAAAATTAATATAATTGAATACCATTGGTTGAATAAATCACAGATTCTTGCAAAAAAAGGGTAAACATTTGATCTACATATCTAGATATGATCTATAGAATTGTAAGCCACTTGGATTAGAGATACATCATCATTTAAAAAGGATCGATGTGCCTACAATAAGATCTTTGACCCCAAGTTAGTGAATTTGCAATCATGAAAAAATAAAATCGAACATGGAGACAATAATTATTGATTCTTATCTAATATCGAGTTCAATATGAGAAAAATGTCTAACAGACAATTAGGAAGTCCCTTTCATTTGATTCTAAATATAATTCCTATAAAAATGACAATAACACGCAAACACTGATTAATTATAATAAGTTTGTTAGTGAAGACCACAGTTAAAGTAGAAAGACAATGTAAAGAACATAATAATTATTTTACAAATTCTTAAAAAAAACGATATAATAAATTTATAGTAATAATAACTACAAAAGCTATTTCAAGCCAAATCACATTTAATTTATATATTTTATTCAATTTGTATTTGATTTATATATTTGATTTAAATTACTATTTTATAAAAAATCATAATTTTCATATACAAGATATTTCTTTCTACCAAACCACCTCACTTAAAATAACTCGATCCTTCTCTTTAATGTTTATCTAAAATTATGGTAGATCTTTCTTTAATTTTGTAGCATAAATTTTGATAAAAAGAGACTGAAAAAAAAGATATTAAAAAATGTAACTTAAACTTAACCTGATAGCGCAAACAACGGTACTAATCCTTAAACCAAACCAACTCATGAATACCCGTCGACGTCTAGGCTTCAGGCATAACGAGTATTCATGGTGTTCGAAACCACATTATCGAAGTTGTTTCTACAAGAAAAAGCTTGACACGTTGCCGATGTCAAAATATGTTACAGCTTCAGCTAGAGACCCCCGTTGATTTGAGATGCAGTCTATAAAGAATTACTCGTTGAACTAGAATGTAATGATGATAATAGGCAATCCAAGTGAGGTCGATTGTTTGACCTGGGTTTTTGATATGTTAACAAAGCATCAAAGACATTTTTCTTTTTGCCTATATTCTTTCTTCACACGATATATAATCTTACCTCTGGCTGACTTGAAATGAAACCACCAAAACCAAACACTGATTTTAGCTCCATATAGATAGATAGCTACACAAGAAGCTTGGAGGCTGCGATCCATTTGCGACATGTCTGCAAGCAAACCAATCTTACATCCAGCATGAAACCTTAAAGATCAGGAAACCATGGCGTGTACATCACTCTACAATGCCAGCATCTCCAACACTCTGTTCGAAACCACCACTCACCAACAAGTGATAGACTCGCCTTTGCCATCAATATTTTGAAGAGCTAAGTAGGGTAGTGGCAAAAGACAAGGCTAGACCACACTAAAGAAAGTCCGATGAACTTTGTTTCCAAATATTTGTCATGCTGAGGGAAGAAGAAGACATCAAATATCTGCCTTCTGCATTCACTTTCTTCTGCTATAATATATTCCACTACCAGAATAATTATGATGCCGATGTCTTGATCCACTACCCCTGCCACTGTTTCCTTCCAAAGTGCTGCCACGGCCACCAACCTTGTTACCTACACTCTGCATCCAGTTTGCCGGCTGTGTCCCTAATCCGTTAAGCTCCTCCTCTTCTCTGTCATTATACTCCAAGACAAGCCTTTTGATGTCTTCTTTCTCCTGAAGCTCTGCTGCTTCTTTCTGTTTTGTACTCTGCACCAGTGAGGAATTCCGTGGGATGAACATCTGCTTTGTTTGCTGCTTGTTTCCCCGCTTCACAAGAACTCTCACCTGAACCTCTTTGTTTCCACCAGTATCCTCATCAAGTGCCTCATCACCACTTTCCCCACCAACTCCTCTCCCATGGTGATCCTTGGCAGATCCCTCAAATACATTCATCGGAATCATCATGTTCAACGTAGGACGACCCCGTAGCTCCTGCCTTCGCTGTTCCATACTCTCCTACAAAATTTAAGAAGCAAGTACTTTGAAATGTTAGAAATACAATTGTTAAAATTTAGGGATTGGATAGAACAAGGAGAGGAGAAGAATGAATATATTTGGAAGACAAAAATCTCCAAATAACAGATATAAAAACCACAAATCAGTGCACAGGTCTCCCACCTAGTGCAACCATGGAAGGGTAATGTTCAGACTTACCCCAATAAGTACTGACCCTATTTCCCAAAATTGAACATGTGACTACCAAGTCACAAAGTAGTGACATTACTGTTGTGCCAAGGCCCACTCATTGAGATATCATATTGTGCAAAATGCATATAAACTCATGTGCAGTTCAATTAAAACAAGACCAGCTCAATAATTATGATAGGCACTAATGAAGTAATAATCCTAATAGTAATATCCAAACAAAATTTGAAAAGAATGAAATATTTTTTGTCTCCACTATTCCTTTTCTTATTCTTTTTAGATCCAGACGGTATTCAATTAGAGGGATTTTGTTTTGTGTTTTTTTTTTTAACATAACAGCGTAACAGTAGCATTCCTGGAAAAAAAGATCCAATTCACAAGGAATTATTAAACTTCGCAGAAATGTAGCAGGAGCAAGCAAATATAATAAATTATGCAAATACTTGCCTGTACTACAGCCTTGAGCTCCTGGTCGAAATCAGCTTCTTCCAGAGGGTCCACCTCAGTCACTTTTTGTCTAACATGCACTTCATCCTCCTCGTCAGAAGCAGGTCCAGGCCCATCGTCGTCATCATCTTCATCATCTTCAGTTTCACACCCATCATCATGATTCTCCTCATCCAACTCTTCATCATCATGGCCCTCTACATCAATTGTGTCACTCCCTGAATCAGTCTCAGTGTCATTAACATCATCTTGCACTCCATTTTCCTCTGTACCATTATCAATGCTCTGTCCATTGCCAACTGCAGTAGTAGTGGAAGTGGTCCTACTTGAAGGCTTCTCAGTGTCAGAATGTTTTTCACTACTGGCCTTATCAGCAGATACTATCCGATCATGTTCATCCAGTTCTACTAGAGCTGCATTCACTTCCTCAATAGCACCGTAACGAACCATATTGGGACGCAAGTCTGCAAACAGATCCTGCATGTAACAGATAATGAACAAAAACAGTAGGTTTACAAAATCTACTGTTAAATAAACAATTCTGAAAGGAAAATTTTGAGTCCATGGGCAGTAGAATAAGAGAGGATGAGGGCCACTAGCATTCTCCTATAAAACTATCACGTTTACCAAGGTGGGCATAACATGCAAGTTCTATTTTCATTCCAAACATCACCAACCAAAATAGGTAATACTACCTCTGTCCCAAAAGTGACTAGTTAAAGGTTTTTTTTCGCTCAGACAGCAAGGATAAAAAGAAAAGCCAAGATATCTTTTACCAAACAAGAATAAAGAACAATAAGTTATCTCAAAATGTAAAAATAATGATAATAATAATAATAATAATAATAATAAAATTCAATAGAGCAACTAGGAAAGTGCAAAGCTACCAAATCTTCTGCACATCAAAGTTCTCAATATCCAGATGTTATATTATATAAGCTGCAATTTCCAAAGACATAATGTGGCTCATAAGACCACTCAAGAAACAATCCCATATCTACAGCATTAGTAGCCCACATCAATTTGGAAGTAAACTAAAAACTAAAGCTGAACCAAATCAACATATTAACCATACCATAATAATGAAATACAGTAAAAAAAGGGGATGCCTGACTGACCTGTAAGTCAAATTCGATGTCCAGAGGCAGTGCCCCTTTGCTTAAAATATACCTCTGGAAGTGTATTAGGAACCGATCGAGTTTCCTCTTAGAAGAACCACGATCAAAGTAATGCCCGCAAGTTTCCAGCAGAGTAATGATCAACCTTATGCGAAAACAATCTTCAGGTGGGTCAAGTACATCTTGCTGACAAGATTCATGAACAAATTCCATAATGTCACCCGAAGGCTCTCACACAAGATAAGTAAATTAAGAGTAAAAATAATAAAATTCAAGCATGTCTACATTCAAAGGCCACGGCAAAACTATGATATGTTGACTGATTAATTTTTTCATAGTAATAACGTGTTCAGTAAAATGTGGTATATGAAGCAGTCGATAAATAATAATGGTAAGACATCAAATATATATTCCTTTAAGTTTGGAGGTGTTTAGGGGGAAGGTATAATTGCACTTACCACGCCCAATTAGATGATAAGAGTCCATTTTTTATAAGTTGATGACAATGAATAAATACATGATATAATATGTCTATAAATCATATTCTAGTAAATATGATTCTAATCAGACATTTCTATAATTATAAAGATCCAAATTAAATAAGGAAACAAAGCAAAATATAAAAGAAATAAATCATAAGATATCATCTAAGATACTCTAAAATATACTAAGACAATATGTTTAAAAAGTTCTTATATTTCTAAGAGTCTACAAAGCTTGTCATGATCATTTTGATTATCCAAGTTTGTTCAAATCAAAACTTTTGGTTCCTAGTCCCAAAAAGTTGGAACTGTGAGGTTGCAAATCAAGTCAATTAAGTGAACATGTAAAGTTTCTTTTCCCAAGCAACTGGTACCTCAATTTTTACTACCATTCACACAAACAATTGGGGTCTAAGCATTGTAACATCTTTCAGTTTCAAATATTTTGTTACATTTATAGATATATATTCTTGATGTTCCTGAGTGTACTTGATGAGAGATAAATCTAAACTTTTATTTATTTTCGTAAGCTTTTTCAATGAGATTAAGAACCAATTTAGGAAAATAATTAAAATTTTGGGAAGTGATAATGTTAAAGAGTACTTCAAGAGACAAGAAACGTCTAAGAAAGACATGAAAAAAATGTTCAGTTCAAAATTTTGGCTTTTGATAGAGCTCAACGGGGTAAACGCATCTATGTAGCCAGCCCCAGCTTATGGAATAAGCTTTAATTGATGACTTTTCTTTTGTCCATATATAGTTTGGTCTGCAAAATCCTTAGATTTCAAAAGCAATAAACTTGTTTATTTATGCACAAGCACAACATGGAGGGGGGTCGGTATGAACAGGATTTTATAACATGTAGTTGCAATAAACTTGAAAAGGCCTTTAACAGCTGAGCTAACTGGTACCTTTCACCTATGGTTGTTGATTGTTGAACAGTGAAGAAGACAATAAATAAAATATATACCACTTAATTAATAAGAATGACAAATAGAGATTAAATGAAATTCTAACGAATCCAACAATATTGTATCCTCAAATCCTTCTAAATTGAATAAATCTTATCCTCCCTTTATTGTATCTGGCCATCATATCTCTCTAACAAATTTCATATTTTATCATAAAGAGAATCATATAAATTACTGGTCATTAACAATAAAGTAATATTAAATGGGCCACAAATTTTACTTAAAAAAAATGACAAAAGGGGGAAAATGTATAATTTTAATACTGATCATGGAAAAGAAAGCTTGTGAAAACTTTAAAAGCACATCAAGAAATTTCAGTACATATAGTGCACGTCTAGTTTAAAAGAAACATACTTCAGGTTTTAGCACTACAGAAGAATATGAAAGCCTAGTTCCTTCTTCTCCTAAAAATAAGTAAATAGTGCAAAATCAATACCTCTGATGTCCCGTGGCCATAGATGAGAATGAGATATAATGTCTCAAAAATAACAGAAGAGTCTACATGCTCATAGTTGTAAAGTTCCCCTAAGAAACGCATGTAAGCAATGCGTCTTTGCTGCATCCCGTAGTCATTTAACTCCAGCCCAACTCTAATCTCCTCCAGAACCTGAAAATCATATTCCATAGTCACAATGTCACCCCAAAACTTCAAATTGCTTGGAGTGTAATTCTTTATAAAAAAATTACCAGCAAAACTCTCCTCCCTTGGAAATACTGTTGGTTTTAGAACTTGAAATAGTAAATTTAAAACTTTCATCAATTAACAAATAAAAATAATTTGGTAATTATATAACGAGTTAAATTCCAATTAAGGCAATCCTTTTTCAGTCTGACCAAGTTAACTCGCAATCAAGTAGGCATTGCTCAAACTATGCATCATTTTCCTGTACATTGAAGAGACAACAAATCAAGAGTAATATCAAACATACCTCGTCAACAATAGCTACAGCAAACTCATCATGATAGCGACTTAATCCAGCAGCAAGAGATGCAACCAGGTGGATCTGACCATATTTGCCTTTGTAGACCTTCATGAAGCATTTCAAAAGATATGGCTCACATTCATTCCATGGTAATTTACGCAGTTGCCTCAGCACATGCTCAATGGTAGACTTGTCAAGATCAGAGAAAAGTAATTTTCTGATATACTGCAACAAAGATATCAACAAAATACTAATTGAGTTTATGAAACTTATAAGATACAATGAGAAAGAAAAAAAAAAAAAAATCTCACCTGATGCAATGGTGGTCGAACTTTAGCCACTCGTGCAGATCTTTCTGGTGGTTTGCAAAGGTAATATGCATTCTCCACTAAAGTGCTATGTCTCGGATCTAAATTTTTTACATTTTTCAATCGCATCAGTATTTCCAACATGTTAGCCATTCGTATAGTGGTTTCTGGAGATCGATACAGAAAACGGCCACATGTTTCAAGAAGATTGCAAGCTACATCAATGTTGTGATGTGTAAAATCATCTAAACAGGCCTGGAAGGACAACAAAACATCAATCAAGGATTGAATTTATTGTAAGAAAACATAAAGATTACATACATTCATTATCTTCACATCTGTCAACAAATACAGGAAGGATGCAAGTACTTGAAGCAAGTAAGGGGGGTATTTATATTTAATCGGCTTACTTTTATTTTCTTCCCCAATCTTCACCATTTTCTCCATAAAATGATTCAAATCACAAAAAAAAAAAAGGTACAAGGGCCTTGGATTTTGACTAAAAAAAGGCCTACCAATCTCATCACTTAAATTAAATCAATCACATACCCCTACAAACTTTCCACTCTCTTTCTTCTAAACCAAACAATCTCACTTTCTCTTCCTTTCTTTCCTTTTCCACTCTCACTTCCATCCCCACATCCAAACAAAGGCTTAATCAAACGAGTTAGCGAGTCCAGTGGTTGGTCACGAGTTCACTCGTAGAAGACTTGTTTTTAGTAAACTTAGATTCAAACTCGGTGAACTCTAAACAAACCCGTGGGTTTGAGGGTGAGTTAACGAATTTGGATTAGAGTTGGATCTGCATTTTTGTCTCTGTTTTTTGCACTCCTCATCCCTTCTCACCGCTGCACTGTATTGGTCATCATTGTTATTGCTGCACAAGTTGCACTGCTCGTTGTCGTGCTGCTCATTGTTGAAGTTGTCGTGGAAGTTGCTGCTACTCACACAAGTCGCCACTGCTCGCAGGTTGGGGTTCTGACCTAGGATCGCATGACACCATGTTGGTTTGGGATTACGGATTTTAAGAGTTCTTCTTTTGTCGCATATAGATTAAGAATTTTATGGTTCTAATTTGGGGATAACATTTTTGTTTTTGTTTATTTTAAATATAAAGATTGAAATTTGAAAATTTTTGAAATTGGTTCAAATTCTTCTTCTGAAGAATATAGTTACATCTTCACTTCCACCTAGAAGTAAAAAATGTACTAGGAAATAGAACAAATATGGGTGAAAATATGGAAAAGGTGTTTTGGGCAATGGAAATATGGAATAATATTATATGAACTTATTTATTTTAGTAATGTGAAGTTGATATTATCATGCTAATACTTTTTGTTACATTGGTATATGAAATAGACTCTTATGAGTCTACGAGTCAAGTCTACATACCTCCCACGAGTTTACGTACACTCTTGAATCCGATAACCTTGAGCATATGTATACATTAATTTTATTTTTCACTTCTAATAAGATCTAAATATGCAGGTTATGATCACAAAGTTACAATCTTTGACTTCATTCCTAATCCTAGGTAAGATTTTGATTTGGACAACATGCTTACCACAATAACTTCTTTTTAGGTAATAATTTTCGTAATGATTATATCAAACTGATAGTGGACAAAATGAACAATCTCTTACCTGTGCATTGAATAAGGTGTTTTGACAAAAGATTAGTTTGTTGCTCTATATCTCAAAAATTGAAACGATAAGAAAAGGGAAAACTAGAGACAAACATAGAATTTTCAACATTGGAGAATTTCTTTATCTTCATCCTAGTGGCTAGTTGTATCCTTCCCAACAACCTATAAATAAAATGTAAAGAAAAGGGAAAATTCATGGAAGACAAACAAGCTTGCTCAACAACTTCCCAAACAATTTTACATTTTGAAACTTTGAATGAATCTTTCTAGTGTGAAATTGAAAACGACAAAAGAACTTTCTTCAATGTATGAACCAAGAATATGTATTGTATCCAATAAAGGGGGCTATTTGTCATACGACAAAAGACCATGGCGGCAAAGGGCATTTGATCCATGAAAAATATAGTATCATCAAATAATGGAGGATAACAAAGTATAATCACACAACTTATCAATACCTAAGACTTCCATATCGGAAAAAGAAAAAAAGTAATAGAAGGTAAGTTTTGAAAAAAACACAACCATACATCATGGTGTCGACAATATAGGAATGGCTCCAAAACATAAGTTGCAACATTAAGAAATTTGTAATCATAATTGGAAGGATATAGGCTTTGTTTATGATAATTTGATTATTAATCTACTGTACCTTCAAACAACTGAAGACTAAGCCAGGAGGGGCAATTTTGAACTTGCAAAGTTCTCCAATGAACCTGATGTTCCTTATCTTTGTCTCAATGTTCATCTGATCCTGTAAAGACATTTCCAAAACAAATAACAAAAGTAATCATATAAATATAGAGCAGATGGTAAAAAAATAATACTATATAGCAAAGTTATGTAAAACAACCTTTTTATTTATTAGGAAATTGAATTCCTCCTCCAACATCTGTAACAGAATGGAGGAGACATCCTTCATACAAGTTGAGAGCGTGGCAACCATGCGTGAATAATATGGTAGCAGTTCCAGTGATGTCCTTGGCACATTGAACAAAGCCCTCACAAGCTTTTTCCGATTTGATTTTGAGTTTAGATAACAGAACTCAACCTAACATGAGTTGAACAAAAAGCCAATAATAATTAATAATGACAAAAAAAAATTAATAATACAATGTAAGAATAAGTACTAGAGCACAATAAAGTATCCTCACAGTTAATTGATCTATAAGGTCCCGGCTCACACAACCCGGAAGCCTCTGCAGTAGAGCATCCAAATTTGTTCCCTCAAGACTTCTAAGTTTGTCTTTTTCATTTTCTCCCTTTTTATCATTATCTTTTTCTTTTTCCTTCTCTCTGTCCAATTCTTTAGACTTGTCTTTTTCCTCCTTATCCTTCACTCTGTCTGTTGTTTCTGCCTCTGGCAAAGCATTGGACTCTGTAGAGACCTCTCCACTTTCATGGGTGGTCTGCTGACCTTTGTCTGATTCAGGTAATATTTCCTAGATAATCATATATCTTGGAAGTCAGTGAGTAGTTGCAGAAGGTTGGTAAGGAGAAAAAACAACAACAGGACGGTTGTATGAATAAAAGTTTATATTATTCTTTCACAGAATTATATGGCACAGTGACTAAATTGACTGAAAAATTCTTTTAATACAAAAGACATTTTATTAGAAAGAAAAGAGAAATACAAGAATGCACACTACAAGGACCATATATAAGAAATATGAAACTAAGTAAATTGACTAAATTTTATGGCATGCTAGAAAAACAGTCACCAATGAGTTCTTACAGTTGGTTGATCTTGACTCTTTGCAGATTGCTCACTGCTTTTTGGCTCTGTTTCTCCCAAAAGCACAGCAGGAACAAACGCTCTGGAGAAAAATATGCAGGATAGAGTTCCATATAAAATAAAACACTGATGAACCAACTAAAGAAAAACTTCAAAACATTGATGGTTACATCAAAACTTTAAACAGGAAAGAATACAGCAATCAAGGGCTACTGGATGAATATATTTGTTACAGATAAGTTTTTAAGAATACAAACCTAAGATCAGGTAAACATTCGTAGAAAGTCCTTGTATCTTCATCATCCCATATGGGTTCAACAACAGAAGAATCTTTACCAGAAGCAGAAGAAATACCCTCCTCGCCACTGGTAACCCTAGTTGTATGGCCATCCTCTGGCATTACAGGAGGCTGCATATCAAGTGCTTCTGCTAATCTATAACAAGAAAATCATAATTACAGGGTTGAAGAATTGAAGGGAATAATTAGTGACATCAAAACAGTATTCACTCAAGAATTATTAGACTTTTAGTCTCAGTCAGACAGGAGAGTGGCAGAATGAATTTAAGAAAAAACTGGATTCAATGGGTAGTGAAGCAGAGCTATCAAACAATTTCTTTAACCAATTTGTGGTACCATGCCAAGACAGATAACCACTTGCTGGAGGATGCAGCTCACCTCAGACAACTAGATCTTAACATATAGGAACAGAGGAACCTGAATGCAGTACGTTTCTAGAAAGTAGAGGTTCATCCAAACTATCTTAACCTAACCAACAGATAATCATATCCAGATTGCCTCAAATTTGCTGAACTGACTGTCTCACTAGATCAATGCTTTTATGCACACACATAGTAATGGACCAAAATATGCATGTGCAACTACACATGTAAACCATAAACTGGAATTCATAGTATTTCAGGAATATATTTAGACAATAACCACAAAGAACATATTCAGTGAACAGCAATGAAATACTGAAAAGTAAACAGAACAACTTACGAAGAGACATTTCTGTACAAATGGTCATAGGATTTACGGAGCTTTTCATATGAAGCAATATTTTCATCGCTGAGCTCTCCTTTTGCATTCAAAATCTTAGAATTTTCATGCTCCATCAATCGAAGTGACTGTCAAGAAGCAAAATTGATCAATAATCAGAGAGGGTAGCATAAAAAGCTTCGGTTTGTGACTTTTTAGAACTACAATTCTCAGATTTCATTCTATACTTTTGTCTCTATAAATTCCCTAATATGTGTGTGTTTACAAAGGCAGAAGCTCTTACAGAATGCTCAGACTGAAGTAGTTCGGCTGCAGCATCATAAAAGGAATAGCATGCTTTCCGGAAAACTTTCTTCTGATCCGCTGTGATGTTAAGGCCTTTAAAAAACTGCATCAAAATGTCAGTACAGAAAAATATAGAACACATCAGGTGACAGAGAACAATGCTTGATTGATGCAAAATAATATAAAAATAGAAATTAGGGCTGAAGGTAAACTTGCAATCATGATGAAATATGACTAAATATTATTATGAAAGTCAATGAAAAGCTAAAAGGGAAAAAAGAACAAAAATGAGAATAGAAAGCATGAGAATATTCTACTGAAAATTACTAAAAGAGACACCTCTTCATGAATTTCTGGCCCACTAACAGAAAGTCCAAGAAAAATTCTCCCTTGACGAGCAAAACTAGAAAGAAGGGTCAAACTCGTTTGTGCAGCATCCCTATCTTTCAGCTGATCCCCATTGGTAAGATCCTTTATGATATTTATAAAAATGCCACCATCTTCAATTACTCCAACAAAAAAAAGTTCCAATAGAAGTTTCAGAGTGCTGCGCTTCTTCATTGCCTTCAAGTTTCTGTCTGCTTCTGATTCATCACCAGTTTTTCCAGGAGAGAAGACTTTGAGAAGCCCTTGAATCAGGCTTGGTGCAAAGTCCTTGTACCTTTGATGAAGCAAAGAACAAATCTTTCCAAAAAGCAAATGATGGCACATATTAGGAGGCATGTATTTAAGGTAACATGTGCACTATATAATAATATATAAATAAAATTTCTGTGAAAAAACAATCTATGGCTAATCTATGTAATTAATTATTTATCTTTGATTAATAGAAGAATCATTAAGAAAAGGAAGTGTTGCCAAGTACAATTACCATAATTATTGTTTGCATAATTTGGAATTTTAGGACAGATTTTACTAGACTTGATTTTATAGTTTTTCTTCTCACTGAGTTTCTGCAAGACTGAGCGAAAGAAAGATATATTGGTACAGTGGAAGAAGAAGATGGATCAGAGCACTATGCCATTAGGATCTTGGAGCTCCTGATACCATGTTAGAGTTCACAAAGAGAAAGGATGAGAGAGAATTAAAGAAATTTTTTTTCTTATTGCATTTAAGATTCTGTAACAAATAAAATTATATTTCTGCAAGTAGCTTGCCCTACAAGGAACAAATAAAGTTACAGTCAACTGTCACATGCCAGTTGGCTGGACTGAACTAACAGCTTACCCTACAAAGAATGGAAACAGTTACAGCCATTTGACACATGTCAGGTAACTAGAATCAGCTAACTGAAAACTAACTCAGTACAAATTCACACAGCAACCATAACTAATCAATGGATTCCCTAGCTTCTAAGAACAACTTCAAACGCATAGAAAACAAGGTGAAAAACTGGAAAGCACATACCTGAACTGCAGCTTGTATATCAGAACTTCTAAGTTTGGCATCACATATTGCAGTCACGGCTTCACTGACAAATTTGCTTAAGTTGACACTTCTCAACTCATCCATCAGAGCTTCACGCTGCTCCTCATTGATCTGCTTCAGCTTCTTAATAACAGCAGTGTTCCGCTTGATGCTGGAATCCAATGTCCTTAAAAATCCCGAGTCTGCATGTAAGAGCATATTGTATAATTATTGATGCAATTAATACTAAGGTAATAATACAATACGCATAGAAGAGGTCAAAGAACTTGTTCTATCACCCGCCTCACTCATCCTTCAATCTTCTATTTTTCGTTGTTCTACCTATAATTTCAACCATAAGCATCATTTTGAAATTTGGGTGAAACTCCTTTCCTTGGTGTTCTTAAAACACTTAGGGGTTGTGCTCTAAGAGTGGTTGACACTCACTTTTTAAGACTTATTTATCCTATATTTGATTTCTGTTTCAACCTCTAAAAATTACTTTTAACTCAAAAATAACAAGGGGGATCCTTCCTCCAACATACATACTTATAATGTAAGTTCACTCCCTTGAAACAATTACCCAATTAAGCAATTAGATTTAGATCTTCGAGTCAAAAACTTGAGCAATTATTTTGTTCACATAGGAAGGATAGAATAGTCAAATAAGAGTGATGCCATTTCAAATTTAGGAAATTAATTAAAAAATTTCACAATACATGACCAATTTATGTGTCCTTCGAATTCCTGATGCAGGGTGAATTTTGAGGGGAAGACTGAATTGGAAATCTATAAACAATGTGAGTGATTTTTACTTACTATACACATGAATGCTTCTTAATGTCCAACTGAATTTTGTTGCAGGCATTTGAATGTTTTATAATCAAAGGGACTCCCAACGCAAGAAAAATATTTAAAGCTCACCATTGACTTTCTACACTATTCTGAGATCATAATTTTGATCATCTAGAATGACAAAAAATAATTTTAAGCATTCAGTTTATTTTGTGGTTTTAAGTTTCTAATAGCTTAATTTAAATTATTTCACTTGATGAATAAATTATTTACGTGGCATATTCATATTTCTCAACAAATTACATTTGCAGTGCTTGCTTGTGATATTTCAGTTATATAGCACAGTAGTAATTTGGTGTGTTCTAACACACTTAAATCATGGCTATATACCTTCAAATGATGGCAACGGGAGTTTCTAAATCAACTCCTCCAGATTGAGGGAGGGAAGTCTAATCTAGTTGCAGGGAAGTCCCAAAACTCTTGTTTGGAGCTTTTTGCTCTAATATTTATTGGAGTTGCTCCATTACTTTGCAAGCAGGAATTTAGTTAAGACTATTTATGGTTTGTCATTAACTAATAATGAATATTTACAAATTGGATTAGGTTATCTATAAAAGTTCATATGAGATATTTGGAACTGAACTGTCCTTTGAAATCCTCTAGTGGCTACTTTCATTCTGGAATATTGTATGTATTACAGATTGGGAGGCTTGGGCTGGTATATAGTGATTTTCCTTTGTACACAGCAGTCATGGAGCCTACAAGTTCAGGTCAACATATATCCATCGGGTACACAACTTCAACACTGTCCTTCACAGAGTGGAGAACACAACCATCCTTTGATAGATATTAAACCTGCAAGGTAAATAAACCCCATCCTAACCATTTTCATCTTCTCCTGAGTTGATAGAACCACCCGTTTGAGCTGAAAATGATATTTTAGTTTATAAAGAAATTTAACGGGTAAGGATCAAACACTAATGACTTGGTCATAAAATCTCTGATACCATGCTACAGAGAATTTCTTTTAAAAGCTTAACCTATTAAAGGGAAACACATGAATGGTTTTTATATCGCAAATTATGTATTAGTTTGAAAATATATTGAAAACTTACATAATAATTTCCTAAACTAAACAGGCTTCTCTATTGAACAAAAATTTATCAAATACTATTACATGAGACAAATAATAGTATAGTAGTGTGTTGAGACAATAGGAAGCTTCCAGATCAAGGTTGCAGTCCAGAATCACCACATTCAAAAAGATGTAGCTCCAGCCATCTAACTACCAGAATGTGTCTGCAATTGCATTTGATAACTCACTCCAACACAAATCAATATTATTTCCTCCAATATTGAGTTTCCAGCTTAAATACATGACCTTTGAAGCAATACACACTTAAAGCAAGACGTATCAAGCAATAGTTGTCAAAGGTAAAAACTATGAATCAAGTAAAATCGATAACATAAATCATTCTGATCACAAATGTCATTCTTGTACATGTTCCCCTGCAAGTTTAAAACATCATACAACAAGAAAGGCCTTTCATTTACAACAGTAAAACTATTATTCAAATTAGGGGGCCATTTTTATGTTTTTTTTGCTTAGCTATGAACGAGGTAAAAACCTAATGCCATGATGTCTAGGTGCCAACCCTAAGATCAAGTAGTCTATCAAAGTACTCAATACGGAAGAGCTTGAGTAATTCTGTTCTCTCCAGTAATTTGAAGTATTATATCCATTCTTATTGGCAGTAAAAAAAATATTTAGAATATATATAATTATTCAAAACTAACAAAAGATTAGCTAACCAGGCCTTTCCAGATTCAAATTGCTTTGACGTAAAGCCATCTTTGCCTCAACAGATTTTTTAATTTCCTCAAGGCGAGCAACAGCTTCCTGCATCAGATTTAGAGAGGTTAGGCCTCAATTAAGTCATCTTGCAATGAATGAACTATCCAATAACTTCCATTACACAACTTTTCATTCACCAGACAAAGTAAAAAGATGATACAAAATACACATCCACAAATTCGCATAAATAATAAAATAGAGAGCCAATTTACAGTTACTTTCACAAAACCGCTTAATTTTCCTACTGAATACTCATAGAAAGAAAATAAAACTTCTCGACCAATAAAGGCGCCATATAGTCGTTAAAAAAAAAAAAACTAAACCACATATAAAAGTTACATATTTCACATCCCATACAGAAACAAAGTAGCGCATAAAAGATGAATAATTACAACCTCATCGTCTTGTTTGCTGTTACTTTCATCCTCATGGTGATCCATGCCGGTAACTTGTGCTCACAAAACACGCGCCTGCGCAACAATTGGAGCAACACTGAACACAAATTAGCACTAGGGTTCAGGTGAGAAACGCAAGCTTTTTCCCCACACCGAATAATACTCGAAGAAACTGCAATTGAATGGTTAAAACACAGTAGCGATAAAACGCGACACAACACATGCATGAATTTAAGGGGACAAAAACGAATCAAAGATGAAATTACCGAAGTGAGGGTCCAGATTTTCCGGTAGAGGAGCGAAGTTGGTTTTGAAGCAATATTCACGTTTCCGTTGAGTGGGAAAAAAAGAGAAGAATGGTAGATTGGAGTGGTGAGTGTAGGGTTGATTTCCCAGAAAACGGTGGCTTTGTTTAGATGAAATTCCGAACGTGAGAGATGGGTTTGTGTTACTTTTGGGTCTCGTTGTTTGCACACTGTTGGTGTGGGAAAAGAAACCACCATAGAACAAGAGTAAGTAAAGGAGTTTTTTTTTTTAAATTATTATTATTATTATTATTATTATTATTCCATTTTAATATTATTTTTAAAAAATACTTATATATTAAAATAAAAATAAATAATTATAATTTTTTTTATAATATTTAAATATATATAAATGTTATAATATTATAATAAACATATCTAAAATCTTTTTATGAAAAATAAGTAAAAAAAAAATGGTTGTCTGAAGATTTTCTTTTTGACTTCAAAAAGATCATTTTTCTCTATTTTAATAACATTAAATATATTTTTTAAAGAATTTTCATTTCCCAGTTGTCTTCCTTATTAGTCATACGTATTTGAACAATGTAAAAAACAAAATACTATAATAAAATAGTCTTAATTAAGTTGATTTACCCTATAAAATCCTACTTCTAACTAAAAATACAAATATTTTTTTCTGGACAATTATTGTATTTGTTAAGGATGTGAAAATCAAATTTAAATGAATATTCATAAGAAACTGTTATAATAATAATTTAGGAACGTAAGTAATTTACAAGCATGGAAAAAAAAACTAGAAAAAAAAAGTTTAAAATAAGCAACTTATACAAAGACTTCGTTTGCAAGCTTACAAGGATGAATATTTTTAATTGTTAAAACTTGAGTTTTCAAATATTTAATAACGTTAATGTATTAGAATTTTTGGTACAATATTAAGTGAAAAACTTGTATAATTTTTTTCCAATTTTAGCTCTTAATGGGACAATTTTCCTAAAAAAAAAAAAAGCTTAACATTTTCAATTTTATCATTGGATCTAAAATTGTATCTTGCAAGACACTAAGTTCATCCCAATATCTCTCAAATTTAACCATTCATAATTTATACATATTTCTAATAAATTTAACCTAGTATTTTTATATTTTCCATTTATAAACATTAAATTTTCCAAAATTCTAAAACCATATAAAATTAAAATAGGATAACTTGTAATTGAAATCAATATATGGCGAGAAGATTAAATCTTCAATGATTAACTCTTTACAACATTTTTTTAATCGATTTCATATTAAATTATATATGTATCACTTGAATTTGTTTTAATAGATGAAATTTAGATCTTATAATTATTAAGCTTTGGAAAAAATTGTTAAACTAAACCCTAAATCCAAGAAGGGTGATAAACAACTGATACAATAAATTATATTTAATATCAATTCATTTAGAAACCGATATAATACGGGTTTATTATATTGAATAATATAATTGATGTAATTTTTTTTAATTAATAAATTGTTACTATCTCGCATTTTATATTATTGAATTTTCTCTTTGATTTTGGAAAGGGCTTGGTAAAGTTTTGTTTGAGAGATCTTAGTTTTGAATTTGAAGTAAAGAAGGTATGAATGGAAGTTATAGGGTTGGAGGAAGCAGCAAAATCAATGTGTTTATTTATTCAATAATTATAATACACCAACAACAAAATAAAGTGATTTTTTAAGAACAAAATAACTCTGAGGACTTGGTATAGAAAAAAAATATTCTGTCTGCAGCATATTTAAATTGGATAGGATCCTTAGAAATTGGTCGACCAGCATTAACAAGACACAAATCCCCTGAAACTGACAAAATTGAAGGGTCTATGGGTTCAATGGATTGAAATCCCTTGCAGTTCAAGAACACATTCTTCACTGGACATGAACACTTGTTTGTGATGGTCACAATCCATTCAATCTTTCCTTGCACAATAAGTCCTGTTCTCTTTTGGCCTACAATGGTGTCCCATAAATAGCATTCACTGTAACCTAAAATCATGATGTAGAAAGGAGAAGAAGTTATTTACAATAATATAAAAATTAAAAATACACAATTGAAGGAAACTAAACAAAGAACAAGATAGTCTAATAATATAATATAAAATTATAAATATTTTAAATTATAATTATTTTATCTTAATTTTGTTTCGTTACATTGACGAGTGTTGTATAGTTTAGAAATAAAAATTCATGATAATTTATATATACATTCCTTTCGTTGAGAAGTTTTTAAAGATAAAATTGTAGCAGACTAAAATTCTAAAATAAATAATATCTCGAACGTAGGAATTGACTCTAACGATATCATACTATATCATATGGAACATAAGATTAACAAACTCTTATTCTTAAATAAAATATTGGCATCCTCTAATTTTATTTCACTTGGATCCTTTGATTCTCGACTCGAGAGACTTATGTTTTGATATGTATTTTTAAAAAAATAGATAAATAAATCATTTATTCTCTTGATCATCAAATTAATCTAGGAAGAATAAAAAACAAATTGTTAAACTATAATGATTAGAAAATTCAAGCGTGAATTTAATTAAAAAATGAAAAAATTGAATAATATTAAAGAAAGAAAAAACTTCTAACAGTAAACCTAACCTTTGTATACATTCGCAAATAAACATTACCTTGAGAAATAAGCATAAGGATAGAAAAAATTATGCCAACAATTTTGACGGTAGAATTCACCATTTTACACAACACAAATGTAAGATTCGATTCCCAATTTCGTTTTCTCATATTACAATGTGCTACAGTATTTATAGATGGGTTACTGTGCATAAATTACGTTGCTATATATTATTTATTGTGAGTTATTGTGGAAAAATTACGTTGAAATGAATTATTTATAGATGAGTTGTTATAAATAGAAATTTGAAACATTCACGTAATAAATTACGAAATAAAAATTTGAAACATTCACGTAATAAATTACGAAATAATTAAATGTCTTTTTTATAGACATGTTTATTTTAATCAATATAATTCATTTTTATTAGGGAATTTCATTCTATTAAGAGAAGTGGAAAATCACATTTTATTCTAAGATAAAAATTTTAAGCATTAAAATTGTTTTAGATTCAAATGTGAAGATAAATATTTCCTAATAGTATATCTCAAAACTTTCGTTTTTTTTTTTAAGTAAATGGTAAAATTAAAAGGAGACAATATGGTTGGGTTTTTTTATTATTATTTCAAAACTTACTTTTGACATATATATTTTATTTTATTTTTCTTAAATGTTTGTTATTTTTTTTATAAAAAAATTATTCATATCAACATTTTTCCATTGAATAATGTGGGTTAAAAAGACTTTTTGTTTATTACAAGAATATCATACAATAAAAAAGTACAAAAATAAATTTAAAACACATTGCAAAAACAAATTTCAAACGAAAACTTTAGGAACCGTTTTTAAAATACTATGCAATAGATAGTCATCGAAACGTGTGTTTTCTATTTGTTTATTTTTGAAATTTAAAATACTTTTTGAAGATTATAATTGGTAAGTTGAGTTTAAGATAAGATTCTACAACAAATAAGTCATGCATGACAGACGAGTTTGCTTGAAGTCGTACAATGCACAACTTCTTAATATTTTTTTTAAGTCATGCTTTTATCAATGATTTTAGTTAATTTTTTAAAGTTTGAAATCACGATGACTTTAGTTTAATTTTTTTTTATATTGACGATTTAAATTTAACATGTCTTTGATTAACGATTTGGATTCAACTTTTTTATATTGAATTTGTCACGTCATTTTTTTTTCTAATTTATTTAATTTTTCAAAAATGGGAATATTTTTTTTTACAATATTATTTTTTTATGACAATGAACTTTAAAATTGATCATGTGGGAATAAATATATATAAATAAGGTGTCGAACATGTTCATACATAACATTCATAATCATAATACATTGTTTTTCAAAATAACTAATCCAACAAGGATCATACTATAATTACATAAAGTTGGTACCCTTAAACGATTAGAACTTAATTTAAATTTATACATCTCCAAATAAATCAAATCCTAATCGAGAGCAGTACCCAAAATTCCTAACTTTCTTATACAAGATCATACCCTCCAGGAGGGCAACATTCTTCCATACATATGTATATGATACTCAATCAAATTGTGGTTCTTCCACCACAATTGTTCCATCATTACCTGAAATATAACAGTAAGGATGAGTTTCCTTTTCTCATCACTCCAGAACACTAAACCGAAATTTTTTTTCCAACCTCCACAATCTAAAACCATATGTAACATTTATAGTCAAACATTTCATTTTTACAATAAAGTATCCCACACAGAAACTTTAAACAATTTCCACAAATCATATTACTCAAACTAAAAACACACAATACATGTTTGTGTTTCATTAGTTCATTTTTGCCACATTTGAAATGCTCATGCACCTAGGATACACTATCAATCTCATCTTTCAATCCATGAAAGGGTCACACATAAGTATAGACAACTCTCACAAGCATAACAAAATTACACACGAGCATAAATGGCTCACAGAAATATAGATAGTTGTCGGTTGATCTGCGGATCACAGATACAATGCTTACGCATAACGAACCCTTAGCAAAAAGACAAAGTCAAAGAGTCAAGTCGGGAGTATAGAGCGTGACCAAACAATGCACTATATATTTCCCCAAGATCAATTTGATATTCTCTTATCTCCTAAGCCCCCGGTGTATCTCCGTACCATCCACACACATA